AAAGTTGATCTCCCAATCATCTTTTTTGAGGATACTATTTAAATACACAGTTTAGCAGAATAAGGAATAAAACTGAAAAAGAGGAAAGTATGGAAACAATGGAGCTAAACCAGGGGAAAATTAGGACAAAGTCTGTCCATATGGAAGCAGGAAATTAGAGGGATCTTGGAACAGTCCTGCAACAGACAGTAATTTCTACAAGCTGGATAATCCTCACATAGAGTAAAGCATTATGTTTCTTTTGTCAGCAAGGTGAAAGAGAAGCAATCAGAAGTATCAGTAAACAATAAAGGTTTTATAAGAAATGATGGACTGGGCAAGGTGGCTCACGCCTGTAAACCCAGCACTTTGGGAGGCCGAGGCCGGCGGATCATGAGGTCAGGAGTTTGAGACTAGCCTGGCCAACATAGCGAAACCCCGTTTCTACTAAAACAAAATATTAGCCGGGCATGATAGCAGGTGCCTGTAATCCCAGTTACTTGGAAGGCCGAGACAGGAGAATTACTTGAACCTGGGAGGTGGAAGTTGCAGTGAGCCGAGATTATGCCATTGCTCTCCAGTCGGGGCGATGGTATGAGACTCCATCTCAAAAAAAAAAAGGAAAGAAATGATGGTTTACAGAATGATGGCTTTGCCCCCTTTGCCCTTCTGTCACCTGTCCCTTATATGTAGCTCTTTTAAGCTTCTCAACTTTCTCTTGGGACACTTCATGCATAACTTGTAATAGAAATGTTACTGAAAAGCTGCCTAAACAAAAAAATTGTATAAAGTAGGAATTTGTATAAACTAATACTGTTGTAAATAAAAAAAGAGATGGGTCAAAAATAAAGCAAACCAAAATATGGAATGATTGAATAGGCAATTGAATGTAAGAAGAGAACATATTTTATCTTGATGTTTGGAACTTTTTAAAAATTGGTACAGGGTAATGATGTTAGACGTATAACAATATAACCTTATTCTACTTTACTCTGTGGTAAACAATATTAAAGTTGTCATAAAATGTAACTGCTATCTTTTGAGGGTTTCAAGTTTCAAGATCATTCTACACAAAACATAGAAATCTTAATGTTTGTTACAGAACAAATGACTGAATTAAATGAATTCATTTAATTACATTAATTATTTAAGTCTTATAAATTAGGGGGTGCAAGGTCAGAAGGAAAGATGAAGGAAAATGCAAGAGTAGCTTAGAAAACAGGGAGCCAATATATTCTATCTAAACTGAATATGACACTAATGTTTAAGAATATGTGAATTTATCAATAGCCATTTAAAGAAAAGCAAGAGTAGTGACTGCTATTACTTACTTATATAGTATATATTATGTGCCAGGCATAGCTCTAAGGATTTTACAGACATTAAGTCATTTAATCCTCACAATAATCCCTCAAAGAACTTTGTCCATTTGAAAGACAGTAAAACTGAGTCACAGAGGGTTAAGTAACTTGCCCAAGTTTACATATCTAGGAATGGTGGCTCACAAATGGAAATAAAATAAAAATTTAATTGAGAGGTATGGATGGGAAAATTGGGAAGTATGAAAAATGATTTGTATTAGGAAGCAATATATAGTATATATTATCACAAGTTGGTAAATCTAGAGTAATAAATGATTTAGAGCTATGGAGTTACAACAATAATTACTAAAAGAACTAGAAGCTGGGCAGCAGAGTACTTTCTATTTTACTTTCGATTTTAAGCCATTCTACACAGTTATTTAATATACATATATTTTTATTTAATTTTTAACTTTTTTATTAAAAAAGAGAGAAAACTTAGGCCAGGCATGATGCCTGTGATCCCAGCACTTCGGGAGGCTGAGGCAGGTGGATCACCTGAGGTCAGGAATTCGAGACCACCCTGACCAATATCGAGAAACCCCGTCTCTACTAAAAATACAAAATTAGCTGGGCATGGTGGTGCGTGCCTGTAATCCCAGCTACTCAGGAGGCTGAGGCAGGAGAATCACTTGAACCCAGGAGGCGGAGATTGTGCCAGTGCACTCTAGCCTGCGCAACAGGAGCAAAAATTCATCTCAAAAAAAAAAAAAAATTTAAACTGGGCCAGGTGTGGTGACTCATACCTACAATCTCAATACTTTGGCAGGCTGAGGTGGAAGGATCACTTGAGCCCAGGAGTTCAAGACCAGTATGGGCAACAGGGCAAAACCCCAGCTCTGAAAAAATCAAAAACTTAGCCAAGCGTGGTGGCATGCACCTTTGGTCCCAGTTATTCAGGAGGCTGAGGCAGGAGTGTCACTTGAGCCCCAAACAGGACAAGGTTGCAATGAGCCATGATCACACAACTGCGCTCCCACTCCCACCTGGATAACAGAATGAAACCCTGCCTTAAAAACCAAAAATTAAAATTAAACTGATCTCCTCCCTCCAAACATTTTACTCACTCACACATAATAAAACATCTCTCAAGATAACTTCCTCCTGATGATTTTAGATATTAGTACATTCATACTTGGGGAGACTGCAGATAATACTACCAAAATATAAAAGATGTCCTCAGCTCATTTTGGTTGAAATTGCCTCATCTGGCCGGGCACAGTGGCTCACGCCTGTAATCCCAGCACTTTTGGAGGCCGAGGCAGGCAGATCACAAGGTCAGGAGTTTGAGACCAGCCTGACCAACATGGTGAAACCCCATCTCTATTAAAAATACAAAAATTAGCTGGGCATGGTGGTGCATGCCTGTAATCCCAGCTACAGCTACTCAGGAAGCCAACGCAGGAGAATTGCTTGAACCCAGGAGGCTGAGGTTGCAGTAAGCTATTGTGCCACTGTAGTCCAGCCTGGTGACAGAGTGAGACTACTCCGTCTCAAAAAAAAAAAAAAAAAAAGTGCCTCATCTGTCATGTGTCTGTATTCATAAAAGCTGACATTAAAAACATCTTATAAAGCTGTTAAAATGTTTGTGTCATCTTAGCACAACACTTACTAAAGCAATGTAGTGAATAAAAATCCAATGGCTTGGGAGGGCAAAGATGATGAAAATGTTACAGTCAGAGCAATACAGTAGAAATACTGAAGAGTTAAAGATGCCAAATTAAAGAGCACCCAAAAGCAGAGTCCATGAGATTATAGAAAGGCAGAGAATGTTAACTTATCCATTCTCTTACTTAACCAATATTTATTGGGCATCTATATGTTTTTAATATATATCACATGTTAAATGCTGACCTTATAAAGAATTCGACATGCAACTTCCTCTCAGTTTTCAGTTTAGTAGATAATACAAAGGACACATATAAATACCTTTAGTATATGATAGAAATTGATAAGTAACATCATGTGATAAAAATATGATACGGTAACAAAAAGTAAGGGAGAAATGTTCCAGCGAAATTATAAAACATAGAGCAATTTTGTAATTGCATTGTGTTCTCGATGACAGGTAGATGCAAGCTAAGATGTAGGCCCATCAATGGGGTTGACAAATATAGGTCAGAAGATAAGGAAACATCATGCGACATTGCTACTGAAGTAATCACATGTAAAAGTAGCCATATATATATATATATATATATATTTTTAAAGATGGGGTTTCACCCTGATGGCCAGGCTGGTCTTGAACTCCTGACCTCAGGTGATCCACCCACCTTGACCTCCCAAAGTGCTAGGATTACAGGCCTGAGCCACCGCGCCCCACCAGAAGTAGCCATATATTTTTGTTAAGAGAGCTACCTTTATCAGTTCTTTCTGGAATAGGACAGTTATCCATGCCTCTGCTGGGCACTCAGCCTACCACAAGCTAGAATAATACAACGAGAACATGATAGAGAAAAAAGTACAATACCCTTTAGCAAAATTACACACTAGATTCAATGTTCAGTATTAAAAGGTTTGTGTGGTTTGGTGATTTTGACCTTGAGACTGAACCTGGTGGCTGATCTTCCCACTTCTCCACTGCAGGCAGGGTCTGAGAGGCTGCGGTGCTCCTCCAACACCCCTCCCTTACTCCTCCACCCTCACCAACACACACACAGTCCTTTGCTCTCTCTAGCTTGGGCTGTTCATTAATCAGACTCAGAGAATGCCTGAGCCAGAGAGTGAGGAGAAAAAGGTGGGCTGGTAAGGACAGGGAGGGGAGAGAAACGGGATGGCAGCTGGCTCATAAGGTTCACTGGACAAGCACAGCAGGAGAATGTAGAATAAAAGGTTGAGACTTTTTCCGTTATCTGTAAGAAGCTCATTGGAAAGGATGTCCATTTTGAATTCCCAGAGTTTCAGTTGTAAACAAAAATAACTAAATAAACTATATTTATAGTGGCAAAAAAAAAATCCGTCTTTAACACATTTAAACACTGAATTCAATCAGATCTAGTACTAGCTTTAGTGAACATGAAAAGATTTTGGAAAAGGTTCATTTAAATAAAAAATGCTGAGTGGAACCCAAATGTTCATTAGCATTATGTCTAGAAATTCAAATACAGATGAGGTCTGTTGAAATACTCTGCCCCTGCTCTCCCAGAGTTTCCAAAATATTGACATCAGACATGTGCTCTCCTAAACTGTCTCTGAAGATTGGGCTCTATCTAGGTCTACGGTTTCCATAGCAGTGAAAAACACGTTCATCACTTTTTATTGTGAAGGTTTAACTATATCTCTCATTAGACAATGAGTTCCAACAGCATTAGATTCATTATAAATCAAATGAATTCATTATGAATATTCTTACTTGTTTTCCTAATAGTGTTACTTTGTATTACACAGATTGCTTTTCTTTCTTTTCCCCTTTTCTTCTTTCTTTTTCAAGAAAAGTAATAAAATGTTCCTCAAATGCCAAAAAATGCTAAGGACGACTCCCTTCATTAAAATAAGGCTTCCTTTTGTTATTCAGTATGTCATTGTTTTCATTCACTGTGAGTCTACTGAATTTTAAGTAGAAGCTTGCAAGACAAAATCTTTATAAATTATTATAAGATGACAAATACTCCAACAGAATATAGCAGCAAATAGCTACTCAAATTCCAACAAAAGAGATTCTTTTTTTTTTTTTTTTTTGGAGGTGTAAGTGAATTTTTATTGGGAAGGGAGGTTGTCAACTTAAACAGCAGCAAATAAAGAGTGAATAAGGAAACTCCCTGTTGCCACAGATTTACATGACCTCCGTATGTGACACAGGAGGCATTTCAATTTGTTACCCCTAGCCAGAAATGGCAAGTGCTTTTCCACTCGGTCTAATACTTCTGGATTCCTACTAAAAAGGAATACATAAAGAGCATGGAAAAGTTGCTTATTGAAAGAAACCCCCGAAGAGTAAGGGAGGGAATGTAGAAATTAAGAAGTTATGTGGAACACTCTTCAAATTTTAATTAACTACATTTTCGTATCTTCACAGTAATACAAAACACAGTCACTTGCAGAACTGGTTCAGATTACTTAAATACCAAATACATTTTTAGTCCTCTACATAAGTGTTTGGAAGTTACTTATGTTTATATGAAATGAAGCTATTAATACTTTCCTACAGCAGGAACTGCACACCAGGAAGGCCAAGACAAACACAAATCAAGGAATGAAGTTTTCCCAAAGCTGCAGTGTGAAAAGACTATAAACAGTTGATTCCATACACACGAATGGGTTTCTTTGCTATAGGAAATCCAAGTGGAATAAGGAATGGAGATGTGTAAAAAGGTTTCTTGAAGCAAAGAGGATGACACCCTGTATGGATTTAGTTTTCAGCCCCTTCTGCTGCATCACATTCTTCTCCTGCACTGTCTGATGTCCAAAGTGTTAAGCTGTCTCTAAGCAACTGCATGATGAGAGTGCTGTCTTTGTATGAGTCTTCATTCAGTGTATCAAGTTCAGCAATGGCCTCATCAAAAGCCGTTTTAGCCAGCGTGCAGGCAAGCTCTGGGTTATTAAGAATCTCATAGTAAAATACAGAAAAGTTAAGAGCAAGCCCCAGGCGGATTGGATGTGTGGGTTGCATCTCCTTCTTGCTTGTATCAAGTGCCTCTTGGTAAGCTCCTTGGGAATTATCTATGGTTTGTTTTCGATCATCACCACATGCAACTTCAGCAAGGTACCGGAAGTAATCACCCTTCATTTTCAGATAGAAGACCTTACTCTCTGGATTAGTTGCATTGGCTATTAAGTATTTATCCAACAACTCCAGGACCGTGGTGCAGATGGATCTCAGCTCGGACTCCACTTTCTCCCGATAGTCCTTAATCAGCTGCAACTTCTTGTCGGAGGTGTCGGTCTTCTGCTCGATGCTCGAGATGACCCTCCAGGCGGACCTGCGGCCCCCGACCACGTTCTTGTAGGCCACGGAGAGCAGGTTGCGCTCCTCGTTGGACAGCTCGGCGCCCTGCTCGGTCACGGCCTTCATGCAGGTGGCCATGTCGTCGTAGCGCTCGGCCTGCTCGGCCAGCTTGGCCTTCTGGATCAGCTCCGTCTTCTCCATGGCGGGCGCGGGGCCGGGGCCGGGGCGAAGGGCGAGGAGAGCGAGGGCGAGCGCCGACCCGGAGCGGGAGGAGATTCACGAGCTTCACGTCTCCGCGGCCGCGACGCGAGTCAAAAGAGATTCTTTACCTAGTTCGCCTTACAGTTTTAAATGCTAGAATTGAATTTAGTGATCGCACAGAGAAAATTCACAGTTTTAAAAAGTAATGAACTACATATATAATAGGACAGAAGATTTACTAAGCTGAGGTAATTTTATGTGTCATACACTTCACACTAATATTTTGGACAGAAAACTTTATCAATCCAAAATAAGTAAGCATTCCTAACAACTTTTAAAACTGTATTTGAAAATAATGCACCAGGAAAGTAGAAACCTTTAAACAAGATTTGCAAAAAATGTTAAGTCAGCAAAATTGTGTTCATGTGCTGGGTTTTTATATGTTTCTGAAGACAAACGAACATGCAAATATCTGAACCACCCTCCTGATTACGATGTGAGTACAACATATATTCTCCCTAAAAATATATATACTTTTATATTAAAATTATATATACATATTTTATATGTACAATACACATATATACACACTTAATATATTACATGTTATATATACATATGTGTGTATTTATATATATATATGCATATATATAAAACATTTGAACCTCAGAAAATGCTTTTCTTTGGCCTCTGTTAAAAGCACTCAGTAACTAAAGAGAAAATTTGTTCTATATTCAGATTCTGTGACTGGCTTCCTTATCAATGGAAACATTGGCAAATGTTAACTTCACTTAAGATCAGATTTATTTCTGTTATATATGCACATAGTTGTAATTGATTGTTTTCTATGTTAGCTTTCTAAGAAACCAAAGGTTAGTTTATAAGAAGCATTGTGGGTAATACTGAAATCCAGTGAACAAGAAGAGGCAGGAGACGTGATTGAACATTCTTTGCAGCGGAAAAAAAAAAAAGGCATTCAGAACTCGTAATGTGTTCTAGAGCAATTAACTACTGCTTGGTAGTCATAACATTACAAGAAACCAAACGTTAGGTTTTTAAATGATTAATGTGTAAATGAACTGTTGTGCTACCTACTGCTAAGATCTCTACAATCAAAGTACTTTTAGCACTATCTTGGAACAAAAACCATGATTTCTAGGGCTGGATTTGCTTTTTCTCCTCATAAACATGTGTATGTTTTACATGATTAGGATGAATCAAGCCAAAAGTGAAAATAGGCTAGGTGCGGTGACTCACACCTGTAATCCCAGCACTTTGGGAGGCCGAGGCAGGTGGATCAGTTGAGGTCAGGAGTTGGAGACCAGCCTGGCCAACATGGCGAAACCCTGTCTCTACTACGAGTATAAAAATTAGCTGGGGCATGGTGGCATGTGCCTGTAATCACAGTTACTCAAGAGACTGAGACATGAGAATCACTTGAACCTGGAAGGCAGAGGTTGTGATGAGACGAAATTGTGCCACTGCCCTCAAGTCTGGGTAACACAACAAGACTCTGTCTCAAAAAGAAAAAAATGTAAGTTGAAGTATATTTGTATTACAACTGCAGTTTTGGTTTTTTATAACTCATATTGCTGTATAAAAGTTAACACATAAGGTAAGGAAAACTTAGTACATTATGGCAATTAACTGATTTTATTTCCTCCGATTTTTAAATTTTTTATTTTTAATGTTTTTGGGTACATAGTAGCTATACATATTTATGAGGTATATTAGATGTTTTGGTATAGGCATGCAATATGTAATAATCACATAATGGAAAATGAAATATCCATCTCCTTAAGCATTTATCATTTGTGTTACAAACCATCCCACTATGCTCTTTTAGTTATTTTTAAATGTATAATTAAGTTATTACAGACTATAGTCACCCTGTTGTGCTATCAAATACTAGGCTTTATTCATTCATTCTATTTTTTGTACCCATTAACCATCCCCACCTGCCTCTCACCCTCCTACTACCCTTCCCAGCTTCTGGTGGTCATCTTTGTACTGTCTAGCTCCGAAGGTTCAATTGTTTTGATTTTTATATCCCACAAACACATGAGAAGATGTGATGTTTGCTTTTCTGTGCCCAGCTTTCACTTAACATAACGACCCCCAGTTCCAACCATGTTATTGCAAATGACTGAATTTCATTATTTTTTTTTTATGGCTACTAGGTAGGCTGATGCAGGAGGATTGCTTGAACCTGGGAGGCAGAGGTGGCAGTGAGCCGAGATCACGCCACTGCACTCTAGCCTGGGCGACAGAGTGAGACAACATGTCAAAAAATAAAATTAAATTAAAATAATAAATTTAGAAAAAAGCTTAGTTCAGCCAGTAAAAAGATAAAAAATATGATTATGGACAAATAACCACTGAGACGCTAACCAATTTAATTTCTTCTCATATATGGTCAGAATGAAAGCTGACTTTCCTTCATAAGCAAGAAGTCATTTTATGCCATAATACTCAAAAGGAAATGAAAACCACAAAGCAAAACTTCCCAGAGGATCATGAGAACCAGAGATCTTTTAGAAGACATTATAAATTCTTGGCATCAGGTCATATTTTGGCTTGCTTCAAGAGTCACTGTCTTTAGGAAGACATTTTGTGAGCTCCCAGCTCATGAAGCATTCAGGACACAGCAGGGACCCAGTAAGGAGGTTGTGGGGATTCTATAGAAACTGGCACAAAGGATTCAGGTGACTCTGAAAGGTGGAGCAGTTGGTGTTCTAGGAGATGTTGCTGGGTGTTAGTGGCAACACGTATATGTGAAATGAGTGGCCTGAATAGGGAAACAGAAGCAGTGTGATAGGCAAGGTTTGGCTTCTAAAAGTCATGGAGGGAGCTGTTACTTTCAATAGTGGCATAATACATGTTGCTATTAATACTAATGGTACATTTTATTTGATAGAAAGCAGACAATCAACCCAGAACACCAGCTGCTAATGGTGGTGGGTCTAAGTTGAGTTACTGGGGCCTCAAATATTTCAGAATGCATTATTCTTTCAGAACCTAGGTTTGGTTAATGACTCTTCAGTCAAACCAAAGAACGTTGTGTCCCAAGTCCAGCTAGACTTAGAGGTTGAGAAAATCCTGGAAAATGCTGAATACTTGCTGCAACTGTCCTTGCAGCCAAACATGGAGTGAAGGTCAAGCATCTCTTTTCATAGCACCATAGCGTCACACTGTTATTGTCTAAGTCTGTCTCTTCCAACACTCTATAACAAGAAAACATATATTTTTGTATCTACATTGCCTTGACCAGTATCTGAGAGAGAATAAATATTTTTACAATCAATGACCGGATTAAGCAGCTAACGACTAAATCAGAGGGGAAATCTAAAGCTGGAACGAACGTTAATCTATCAGAAGAGAGAAGTTCCAGGCATGGTGGCTCGTACCTGTAATTCCAGTACTTTGGGAGGCTGAGGTTGGAGCATTGCTTGAGACTAGGTATTCAAGATCAGCCTGGACAACACAGCAAGCCCCCTGTCTCTAAAAAAAAAAACAAAAAAACAAAAAAACTTAAAAATTAGCCATGTGTGGTAGCAAATGCCTGTAGTCCCAGCTACTTGGGAAGGTGAAGCAGGAGGATCACTTGAGCACAGGGGTTAGAGCTTAGTACACTGTAACTGTGCCACTGCACTCCAGCCTGAGCAACAGAGCAAGACCTTGTCTTAAAAAAGAGAAAGAGAGAGAGAGAGAGAGAAGTGATGGAGCCTGAGTTATTATTGTAGCTGTCATTGAAGTTTGCCAATATGCCAACCACTATGTTAAACATTTTCCACATATTATATAATCCTCACACAACCCTTTGAGGTAAGTATCGTCATAAGTATCATGATAACCCCTGTGATACAGATAAGGAAACTAAGTAAAAGAAACACACACACAAACACACACAAAACCTGGCCTTATGTCTCAAAACTAATAGGAATTGAACACCATAACCTAAGAGTTTTTTAATTAATTAATTTTTTAAAGCAGTTTTACGTTTACAGAAAATTAAGCATATAATAAGAGAGTTCCCACATACCTCCTTACTCTTCAGCTTACTGTTTCCCCTATAACTGAAATTTTGCATTAATGTGGTGTGTTTGTTATAATTAATAAACCAGTATCAGTATATTATTATTAACTAAAGTCTATAGTTTATGATCCCTATTTTGTGTTATAAAGTTATATGGCATTGACAAATACATACGTATCTTAAAATTGTAACCCACTATCACAATAAAAAGATACTCTAGAATCATTAAAAAGAAGTTTGAATGAATTCTGAGATCTCATCATAAATATGGCAATTCTTCCAAATTAATCTATGACATTAATGCAATTTCTATCATCCATCCAAAGATTTTTATAAAATTTGAAAAACCCATGCAAAACTCAAATGAAAAAGGCCAAGAAGAGCCAGGGCAATTTCAAAGAAGAGGAAGGATTATCTTTACCAGATATCAAGCTTTTACTAAATGTATAATAATTAAAACATGCTCTTTTTACAATTAAACAGATAATCAAATAGACCATGCATATATTTTTTTAAATTTATAGTAGAATTTTTATTTATAAATATTTGGAAATGATAAACTATTCAATAAATGATGCTGAAACAAATGATCCTCCATATGGGGTAAGAAAGTTTTGCCACTCCCCAAAAATTAAAATGAAATAGACACTAAACATGAAAAACAAAACTATAAAACTTAAAGAAGAAAACACAGGAAAATATCTTCATTATACCTGAGCAAGAATAGATTTCTTTAATAAGGCACAAAGAGCACAAGTCATAAAGGAAAACTGATAAATTTGCATATAATAACATTTGTGCATATAATATTTGAAATTTTGTATAACAAAAGATACCATAAACAAAGTGAAAAGACAGGCACAAATTGGAAGAATTTTGCAATTCATATAACAATATATAATAGAACTTACAAAGAACTGCCACTAGATAAATAAGGCAAAGCAGAAGGGAAAAATAAAGCAATTGATTTAAACAGAAAAGGAAAAAATAGATGGCAAAAGAAAAATATGTAAAGATGTTCAACCTTGCTATGAATCAGAGAAACGCAAATGAAAGACACAGTGCTAGGCT